AAGTGTTTCTATTGCAGAGCAATGGTTCTTCGAACCTACCGAAATGAAAAATTCTAACGATATCCCCGAACAGATAGAAATACAAACTGAGAATGCTTCGGCATCTAATATATCTGATATTACTTCAAATTCTAGCCACTTTGTGACTGCTTCCAGCAAAGATACTCATGAACAGACAATCTCACGTAATGAGGAGTCTAATACATCTAGCCACGAAGTGACTGCCTTCGGCAATTCCGATGCACAACAGGAATCAGAGACCTCCACATCTCCTACCCCCGCGGAAACCATATCATTGGAAGAGAAAGAAGAAAATGAATTTCTGGATTCAATGTATAAGGAACAGGTTTGTAACGAGATAAAAGATAGAATCAGAGAAAAAAAGCTTCAGCGCGAATCGGCTGGAAAACAAGCCCAAGACTTATCGCAATTTCATGAAATTACATCCAGAGATATGGAGTCACGACCCCAAGTTAATCATAATACAAAAACCGTTCCCTCAGGGAACGATCAAAGTCATGTGATTTTAACAGAGTCGCCTTCGTTGCAAACTGAAGTGTCTGAATTAGAACAGGACGATGAAATTGATAAAAACCAAATCGTTGAACAAGGTTTAATACAAGAATTGCATTTACCTACTAAAGAAAACGACAGCTCTATCAAAATTGGTAACTCTGGCGACAAATTGGGGAATATGTCTTCAGAGGAATCGAATATTGTTTCCTTTGGAAATTCTGCCCAACATTTGTCTCATTTATTTAAAACAGCAATTAAGTCAAGACAACAGGAAATCTTAAACTGGTATTATTATTCTCTTGAATTCGAAAATAAGGTTCATGATATTACAGCCGATGGTAAAATAAAAGATAAAACGGCCAGAACAATGATTTACAAAGAAATGAAACCTTTTCTTCCTAGTATCACACAAGATAACTTACGCAAAAAAACTCTGAGAGCTAGAAAGCTTCTTATGTTATTCGGAAAAGATGGATAAAATTAAGCAAGTCACTTATAGCGCGAATGAGATTTCAAAACTGACTAATGTCCAGATCCAAAATATTATAAATCAAGTGACTTTAAAAACCGTTCCCTCAGGGAACGATCAGACTAATGCAGAGGTGAGCGCTTCATCTAACTCAGCTCATGACCGCGCTTATTTTCGTAATAAAATATTAGGTCGATATCCTGATATACATAGAGAATTTAGTAGTGAAAAATTCGATTATTA